AAGATTCAACTTTCATACGACCTGATATTTCTGACATCTAGGCCATCATTTCACCCTTAAAATCCATGTGTGTCTCCAAAATACTTTCCTCTCCCTCTGGAAGAACTACAAGCAGAACATCCAGATCTGACTCCTGGCATGGTGCACTGATACCAAAAAGATTTTTGGTGTCATGGTGTCATTTCCTTCTTTGTACTTTGTACTTTGTTCCCATTACTTTTAGAATAAACACCCAAATCTTTACTACACACACACACACACACAAAATACTGGGCAACTTTTGTAAAGACACATTGTGGCATCCAGAGGACACCACACAGACATGGTCACACTGAACAGCAAACTGAAAACAGATAAAAATACATATTACTCTTCTGTGGCAAGGATATTCAAATCCACAATGTTGTTTTTCTAATCACAGAGCTTCACAATGTCTTGCTGGTGGTTTACCATCTTTACAGAAAGAATAACATTCTCTATGTAAGGTACTTATAAACTCTTCCTTTTTTCGTTTTTTTTTCTCCCCAGAAATCAAACCAGGAATAACTTCTGTTGACCTTGTGCCTCAACTGTCCCCAACTATTTCTTGACATGCATCTCTGCTTACAGCACATCACAACTAGAGAATGGGGCTCAACCTGACACTTGCAAAACTACCAAGTAAGCGAAAGACAAACGTGCAAAGGAACTGTATTCTAACATGACTTGGGGGAGCCATAGTTCAGAACCAACTGAAAGCCGTTTCTCTTTCCAGCCATTCAGGATAGCATCACTGATGTGAACCAGCCTTGCTGCAACTGACTTAAAACTTTAGCCAGTCTCAGCACTATCTTTACTTAGGACAGGGATTAACAGAATATTTGAGAGAGATTCCTTAAACCCCAAGTAAAGTACATATTACTTTCCTCATTTGATAGTAAACACCAAGGTTTACTGAGGCTCCCCAGGAGGCCAAAAGTAACACTGACCTACTCGACTAGGTAATTATTTAGAAGATGATCCTGCAAGGGCCTCTGTAGCACGGTTTGACAACCTATAATTTATACGGCTTTATTATTTCACTCCATCTGGTAGGTAGGACAGTGACATATGTTGAGAATTTAATACCCCGTGTCAGAGTGACACACCCCGCTGAGCAGCAGAGCAGACTCACCCAAGGCAGCAGTGCTGGGATGCTGCCTCGCTGCGGCCATCACTCCCACTCCAACTACAGAAGAGGGCGTTCTAAGAGTAAGTGGACCCCGGAAGGATGGAGGTGACAATGATATAAAAGTCTGTCTGGTCTGGCCAATATGGCATGCAACAAACACGAAACTAGAGCAAGGACAGTGCAGTGGAGAATTGTCATTGAGCTAAATTCTGATGTCAAAGTGACACATAGCATGATATCTGGCATGTACATACATATGCTCTCAAGGTTTCTCTAACCCCCCACACACATACACACTCATACAGGAATCAAAGCAACCATGGGATTAGATTTCCTGCTTGTCATTGCATTTCTAAAGTTAGCTGAGAAGGATCTAAGGTGAGGAGGCAGAGAAGTGACCGGCAAAGGAGTTCTTGCTAATCCCTCTCCACCATCATCCTATATTAGGCGCCAGAATAAACAGGGAATGCCATGCTGGGAAGCACAGAACATGTCAGAACAGTATTTCTATTTTAAAAGTCATTTCTAATTTTTCTTCACGAATGGCCAAGCTCTAAAGCACTGAAGAAGGTCCCTGAATTGGTCACATTCTTTACTGGAAGAATAACATGATGAAACCAAACGAGCGACAAAAGCCTTTGCCTTTTAATGGCCGCTGTTCCTAAGTAGGAACAGTGGAGTGTAAACCTACATCCCCACTGGGAGATCTGAAGGACCAAGGAGAACACACAATGGGAGCTGCTGCCTGGGGAGCACATGGCGCTGACTTCCTTCAACAAGAAGCCAAGCAGCACCCTCCGGGTGAAGCTCTGGAGTCCTTCAGAGCAGCACACAGGTGGTCTTTACCCTGCTCCCTAGGTACCATAGTTGTCTACTATTAAATTATTTTCAAACTAGCCCAGAAGAGGTTTTAACTACTCATTTGTTTAAGCTGTGTTATGAATCTGGAATTTGTAAATGAGGTACTAACCAGGGCTAGGCTTACCCCCATGGAACTGGGGAGGCCCGAACTCCAAAAGGTTAATTCTGATCATGAGCTAAGGCAGATATTGCAAGCAAGCACAATCCAAGTGCCAACACAGACTGTCTCAAAGCCACAGAACAGGCCAAGGACCACTGGGAAGTCACTCATGCTTCAGGGTTTTGCTTCTGGTTTTGACTCTGCTTTGTTTTTTTTAGTTGGTTGGCTGATTTGTTTGTTTTATCTTGTTAGTTTTTTTTTTAATGAGATAGACTTGTACAGAGACTTCTTTTGATATTCTGATTGAAGACTACCTTTAATAGTAACCATAATTGCTAGGTACATTATCATTTAATAAGAGTGCTTGTCTATATAATTAAGCCTTGGAATATTATAATAATATATGGAAGACAAGCAGCTACCGGGAATACTGGGAGAGAAGGATGTGTTCTTCTAGGTCACAATGGGTATTCACAGGGAGTCAGTACTAACAGCCGAAATACCCCACACCCAGGGGGTTAAAGCTACTGAATTCTATTAACCCTCGCAACGGCTTTCAAAATCAACACATACGTGATTGCTACAACATACATCGTTTTCAGAAATGACATCGCTGTTCCTTCATAAGCTTTGCCACTCAGCTGAGCTTTTACCCTGATTAAAACCTACTTTGCTTCCTGTGTGTTCCCAGAGTGTTCTCCCCAGTAAGAAGAAAGTGGTAGGTAATAGCTTAACTAGGTAAGTCAATTCACATAGCTGTCTGAAGCTCAGCAAAGCGGCGCTTCTTAGGCTTTTAATGCCTTCAAATGCTGATTTGGATCTACTGGTAAAGAAGCAGCAAGACTGCATGGCTTTATTAAATCAAAGCAGACTTCAGTGAGACGGTCAGGGCAGCAGCTCCAACTGGAAGCAGAAGAGAGAGGGCAGCTGAATCAGGCATTTTGAACTTGTAAAGCTTAATAATACCATCAGTCTCCTAACAGGCAAGCCGAGGCACAAATTACTAACCTGTACGGGGATATTTAGGCCAGGAAAACCAGTTTTTAAAAACATAGCAAGGAATGAAAGGGACAGAAACTATCAGAAAGGGGAGACAGCTCTTGAAAAAAGAACCCACACTTAGATTCCAGGTGGTAATTTAAGAACCTGTGTTTGGATTATAATCATCAGAACTGCCTTTCCTGTTTCACTTCTTCAAAGAAAGAAAACAATATATAATAAACAGCGTTGTGGGCAAGTAAGAGCTAAATTCATGCTGTTCCCTAAACAAAAATCATCCTAAAATATCATTAAGATAAGTTATTATTAACTAGTGGGGATTAAACAATCAGAAATGACCTTCCCTGCATCCTTGCATCTGAACCATGACTTTGTAAGCTAGGATGGTTTATGCTGTCTGTCAAACAGTTGAAAGAGTTATTGAGGAAATGGCTCCAAGGGAAACTGGAGAGGCAGAAGCTTCCAGAGCATCAGCATCCTGTGCAGAGAAGAAGGCAAGGAGAAGAATGAGGGCAAGAGTCAGGAGGGTGCCCGGGGCAGAGACTGCTCAATAGACCTCCAGTCCGTCAACCTCAGAGGCTCTACTTTGGCATACACTTCACCAAGCAGCTCACCTCCAAGGTGGGAGCGGTCCTGGGAAGCCAGCATTGACATCATGAAGAGTAGCGATGCTCCACAGCACAGACTGGAGCTTTACATCCCTCACTTAACCGCAAGTTTGCCTCAGTTCCCACAGGAGACGGATGCAGGAATCAAATGCCTGCATGCCATCTCGTTAGCTCAATAACAGATTGGTATTAGAGTGCCTTTCATCATGTGCACCAAAGGGTCAAAAAAAAAAAAAAAGGATTCCTTGCAAATTCATAACAAGCAGAGCAGGTATAATCTAAACTTATAAATAACAACAAAAGTAGCAGCCTACATATATTTTTCTTGCACACATTTTACACAATATATTTTTGATAATAAATTTGTACACTAACAGGAATGTAAAATCTTCATAACTATATACTTTATTGATGAATGTACTAGATAGTATATAGTATCTGTAGATAATTATAATCCAAAACCAGGATCCTATAGTAGTGTCCTATCTACTCACAGCTTTTGTTCTAGTAAAGTGAGAATAGATTTAACAGAATCCACAAGTTAGAGCTAGCTCTACTCTGGACTTTGTCACTTAAGAAGAAAGCCATTTTTTGTTTTCTGAAAAAAGAAATCAAAACCACATTTCTATTTCCAACAACAGTCCCTACATAAACTTCAGGAAACAAAGGTTGAGGATTGTGTGTGCTTTATTAGTTCACTTTGTGGTTTGGGTGACTGCAGAGCCTAAAGCTTAGGTAGTGATAAAGAATAGACGTGTCAAAGGACACACTGATATAATGTCCATGTTCTGTCTTACTGTTTCGGTAAACTTCAGTTTTCTGCCTCAGGTACTGCTGCTTCGATGTGTAACAATACCCAATGTTGAACTAAACACCAGGGTTTTATATGGATATAGTATATTCATTTTCAATAGGTTGTCACAGCGAATCAAAGGGTCTTGAAATGTAGGGAAGGGGAAGTCACCAATTATGTAGCCACTCAAAACATTATCCGGGTACTACTTTAAATGTCAGGAGCAGGGCCTGGAGAAGATGGCTTGGCTGTTAAGAGTGCTTCGGGCTCTCCCAGGGGAATCAGCTCAAAGAGGATTCTAAGTCAAGAACTCACAATTGCCTCAGGTCCAGAGGACCAGAGACCCTCTAACATCTTCTGTAGACACTGTCGCGCACACAGGACACACTTACAGAGACACAGACATACACATGAATAATTTTTGTATCTTTGGGATAATGGGCCCACTGAGAGCATCAGCGCAGCCCTATGGACGGCGGCTGTACTAACATGAATGTTTCCACTCCTGCAGGTAATGAGCTCTACAGTCAAGCCAGTCCCTCTGCAAACAGCACAAGTGTGGGACATGGAAAGAACTCCACCAATCACAATGAGTTTGACACCATCATCCTGCCAGTGCTTTACCTAGTTATATTTGTGGCAAGCATCTTGCTGAATGGTCTGGCCGTGTGGATCTTCTTCCACATCAGGAATAAAACCAGCTTCATATTTTATCTCAAAAACATCGTGGTAGCTGACCTCATAATGACCCTGACATTCCCGTTCCGAATCGTCCGTGATGCGGGATTTGGACCTTGGTACTTCGAGTTTATCCTCTGCAGATACACCTCAGTCCTGTTCTACGCGAACATGTATACGTCCATCGTGTTCCTTGGGCTGATCAGTGTCGACCGTTATCTAAAGGTGGTAAAGCCTTTTGGTGACTCTCGTATGTACAGCGTAACTTTTACCAAAGTCTTATCGATTTGTGTTTGGGTGATCATGGCCATTCTGGCCTTGCCAAACATCATCTTAACGAATGTTCAGCCAACTAAGGAAAATATTCATGACTGCATGACACTCAAGAGCCCTTTGGGAGCCAAGTGGCATACGGCTGTCACCTACATTGACAGCTGTTTGTTTGCGGCTGTGCTGGTGATTCTGATCGGATGCTACATAGCGATATCCAGATACATCCACAAATCCAGCAGGCAATTCATAAGTCAGTCGAGCCGGAAACGAAAGCACAACCAGAGCATCCGCGTGGTCGTGGCTGTGTTCTTCACCTGCTTCCTGCCATATCACCTGTGCAGAATCCCCTTCACTTTCAGCCACTTAGACAGGCTTTTAGACGAATCGGCACACAAGATTCTCTATTACTGCAAAGAAATGACACTTTTCTTGTCTGCATGCAATGTGTGCCTGGATCCAATCATTTACTTTTTCATGTGTAGGTCCTTTTCAAGAAGGCTATTCAAGAAATCAAACATAAGAACGAGGAGTGAGAGCATCAGATCGCTGCAAAGCGTCCGAAGATCGGAAGTGCGCATTTATTATGACTACACTGATGTGTAGGGACCAGGGGCCAGCTGGCCGTCTCTTACTGGAACCAATGTGTAAAATGTGTAAATAAAGGTTTCTTTTTCTTATCCCGTTTGAAGCTCGTCAAAACCACAGATCCTTTCTCTAAGCATAAAAATGGCCAGATATTGGGGCATCAATTGGGACAAAGAAAAACATTAAGAAATGAAAAAAAAAATTGTGGGATGAAGTAGAGATGGGAGAACTTCAGAACAATCTGACGAGCAGACCAAGGCCCAGCCATGTGAACTTCTGTGCCTGCTCCCTGGAATACATGCACTGCTGCTGTGACGTCACTGTAGAGAACTCACAGCATAGAGAACTCTCAAGGTTCAGTAACTGAGCAATAACTGAGTCAGAAGCCTGTGAATTCTGCCTACCTGGGACGCTTTGGCCAGTTTCTCTTCATTGTGTTTATTAAAGCCTTAAACACATGACAAACATATGTGGTGGGGGCGTGGCAGAAGGGAAGAGTCACCTACACTTCACAGTAGGCACTGCTAATGTCACCACCCACTAACTCATTTTAAGTAAGCTATTTTAGAGGAAGGAATGTGACTGGATAGTGCAAAGAATTCTGCTAAACACGGAATTAATATTTGCCATCAATTCAGCCTTATGATGTATTTATATGCTCATGTGATAAGGGCAGATGAGAAGCTATGGAGACTTAACTAAAATGTATATTGTTTATCAGATGGTCATCGAATCACTTCTATTTCAATAAAACAATGCATTAATAAATATTCTTCCCTATACTATATGCCCAATAGGAATATCAATAGTTTAACAATACGAACGGAATGTGAAAGCCGTAGTTCACTAAGTTATATCAAAAAGTCCATCAGTATTCATTTAAATGTTGGGCTACTTTCTCTCCTCCCGCCAACAACACACTTTGAACAACTTGTTTCTCAACGCTGTATTAGTCCTGGGGGGGTCACACCTGTTTTTTTATTATTTTAATTTTTATTACATTTATCTTGTGTGTAGGGCGTGGGGAATGAGCATGCTCCAGCACGCACCTGGACGTCAGAGAACAACCTGCTGGAGTCTGCTCTCTCCTCCTACTGCGTGGGCTCTAGGATCTAACTCAGGTCCTCAGGGTTGGAAACAAGCGTCTCTCTGGACTGAGCATCTCTCCAGCCCCGGCTTTATTTTTGACACTGTACCAGAAGCTGGAGAAAACCTTAAGAAGCAGAGTTAAGATATGCTTACTGATTACAAGATATTGTAGGACCAGGGAGACGGTTCAGTGGGTAAAAGAACTTGAGCAAACCCAGACGAAGTCCGGCATGGTAGCAGGCCCCTGTAATCTGTTCTCCTACAGCAACATGGGAGACAAGACAGGAGACTCCCCAGACACAGCCCGACTAACTGGGCGTTACAGCAATGAACAAGGGCAAACACTGAAGGTTGCCCTTGACCCCCACTTGTATGCTGCCACATGTATGCCTGCATTCACATTAGCACATGTGCACACATACATACATACATCATATACACAGAAACATTAAAAAGACGCACTGTCGTTAACAGAGAAAAGAGACACATATAAATGACTACTGTATTTCACTTACATTCTAGAAAATTACCAGATTCTGAGACTGAGCAGAACAGACGGCTCAAGAACAGCAGTATGATGACAGCCATCAATAGGCACCAAGACAGTGTAAAGACTCCAAACTAGGTAGGAAGCACGGCAATTTCAGCAGAGGGGTTTTTATGAAAGGAGATAAAAGATCTGGTGACTTTTATCAAAATATTAATCTCTCAAGATTTCAACTCCCTAAATGAAAGAGTCATGCAAGTAAGTTATTTTTATTTACCTCGTTTGGCCACTGGCATAGTTCCCACCAGCGCCAACTGTGTGGCACTAAGTAGGTTAACACGATAGGTTTTAGATCAGTTTATGAGAGCAGGTGGAAGATCAAGGCCTCCACCTGCCTTCCCCAGAATGACCAGGAAGAGGGACAGCTGCCCTAAAACAAAGGAAGAAGGAAGAACCATACTGCAGCAGGAAAAGTCCTTTGGTCCAACCTGACCTTGCTTCCTCTTCTTCTCTCCATCACACCACAGGACCTGGTCAGAGAACTCAGGAACATTACCAGCTTAAGAACTGGAGGACATTGTTAAATGCACAGCCCCTCTGGGCCCGAAAGAGCAGAAATGGCTTCTTTAATGCATCAATGGACTCTATGTAACACTGCAGTTTACCGGATGCTCTAGCCCAGACTTCAGCTCATTTGTGATTCCAGATTCTTTTGTAAGAAGTCTTCCAAGTATGTTAAATCTCCTTTACTATCTCCAGATTGGATACCCTTAAGGTTATTGGACATATTTAATGTGAGGTTGATCATATTTCTCTGAAATGATATTGTTAAACCAATGGCATGCCTCCAAACATTGACTTAGAAAAATGCCAAGCAAAATTATCCTCATTTTAAAAGCCATAAGATAAAATCTACCCAAATTGCAATGCATATTTGACATCAGTACCTAAGACTGACTTATCCAGGACCAAGATTTAACAACCTATAGAACGGGAGTAGAGGCAGGAGGGGTACAGATGGCAGTATCAGTGCTGGAGAGCACACACAAAGTTCTCTTCAAAATGAAGGAAATATGGATTCTATTGCAGGCTTTTGAATATGGCAGTTCTGAAGTGACCTCAAATAGGAAACGGAGTGTTCATTAGGGCTTTGGAATTACATGGTTTGAGAAACCTTTATTTGAAATCTCTGGGACCGGAAACATTTCAGATTTCACGCGTTGGGTGTGGAAATATTTGTATTGTTGCTGACAGAGTATCATCAAGATTTTCTGAAGTGTAAGCACAAATTCATTCAGTTTCATATACAACCTCGCACGCATCCTGCGGGTACTCCGATGTTGTGATCTGTGTGCTATGCCTCTGCCCTGGCTGCAGCCCGTCACAAGGCGGCACCTGTGCCATCACTGTCAGACTTCAGAGCATTTCAGACTCCCGATTCCGGATTACAGAGAGCTGCCAAGTGTGTAGCTGAGATTTTAGAATTCTCTCATACATGAATAAATGCCATATTCACTCATTCTGACATGTAGAGATTCAAAATAAAATTTTAATTTTTTTAAAAAAATCAAAATAAAATATTAATCTTTTTTTAAAAATAAATCTGATATTCAAAGAAACTGACCTTACTTACTGTTGATTAGAGAGTACTTCATAAATTCCTAATGCTCATTATAAACACTAAGTCAGTATTTCTTTCTCAGATAAAGCTTCAAGGACAGAGTACCTAGGAAAACACATTAATTTAGATTAAATACTCAAGACAAAATGTGTGTGTGACCGTGTTTGTGTGTGTGTGTGTGTGTGTGTGAGAGAGAGAGAGAGAGAGAGAGGGAGGGAGAGAGAGAGGGAGAGAATTTTCATGTACATACGGGACTGTGCAGTTTATGCCAATAAATCATATAATCACAATATGGAAATATATCAGAAAAAAAGTTAAAGACAGGACACCAAAAAATCTAATTGACCAATTAAATTTTCTGAACATCACACACACACACACACACACACACACACACACACACACACACTTACCTGGCACACGCTACACAAAAGTGCAATGAGTTCGGCACAATATAAAACAACCTTTATGTATCCCTCATGATTTCTAAGAATCATCCTTAAAATGTACAATTTTCACATTGCAACCCGTAATAAAGCAGCAGGAGGCTGTGGTTTGGCCTTTACCACCATCTAGTGGTAAAGTTCAGAAAACATACATCCCATGTCCTAGCCCTTTATGCATACAAGTATTCTAGCAGGGCGAGGTAGACATGTCCGAGAAGAGCAATCAACACGGACAAGAAGCTAACCTAGAGTGCAAAAAGAAAAAAAACTCAGAAAGACATGAGTCAGGGGTTTGACAGAAGAAAACACCAACTGCTCTTTCTGAATTAAAAGAGGGAGTTTCCCAAGAATAAACCAGCTTGGTGCTTTTCAAAGACTATTGTGGCTTTGAACACCGACTGCGTCTTTCTTAATACTCACTCTCTAATACAGACTGGACATCTTTTCTGTAATGCGTAAACCTTCCTTGCTCCTTTTCAGAGACTGAATTGGGTTCCTATATTGTGTATTTTGTGCTTTCAGCGGACACCCCTTAGGTCAAGCTTCATGTGGACATCTCCTTCTCTAACTTTTTTCTCATCGATACCCAGATGTTCACGCACAGCTGAAATCATCTGTCAGCAGACACGCAAGCTGAATATTTGCAAAGTCAGCTGTTAATTCTGCATTTCCATCTGATTTCAATTCCACTTCTCAAACTGTCAGTTTGAACTCCCGATGTATGTTCATCTCTGGTATTCAATGGCCTAATTTTTAAACCCTTTATGTTATTGTTGGTAAATGGGGAAGAAACACAAGGTGTCACAAAACTTTGGTTGGTGCATCAGTTACCTTTCTGCTGCTATGATAAAACACTGCAGCCATGGAAACCTACAGACAGAAGTTTCTTTGGCCTTATGTTTCCAGAAGGTGGGTTTACTTCAGTGGGGAAGCAGGGCATCAAGGGCAGGCATCGCAATAGGAACAGGAAACTGAGAATGTGTATACTTTACTGTGAACCAGAAGTAGGGTGAGGCTGTCAACTCTCAATGCCCAGCCCCAGTGATGTAACTCCTCCAGCAAGGTTGGACCGCCTAAACTTCCCAACAGTACCACCAGCTGGGCCCGTGTTCAAAGGCTGAATCTACCCAGGGCATTTCTCACTCACAACACTACAGTGGGTATGAATAACAATTGAGCGCACTTCAGTGTGAGGGACAAATCCTGTAATGATAAATGGACTTGTCATTCATGGGAAGTTAATGGCTTACTAGACACAGAAGCAGGGGACAAGTCTTTGCTATGGAAGAGCTTCCTGTTTTGAAGATGTCAATCACTAAGCCCAACCACTAAACACTAGAACCATTACTCATACACAAATTTTACAAAATCACCTCTGAGGTACTGATTATCTATTGTACTAAAACAAGTTCCTGAAGACAACTGCCAGCAATGAGAAGAAAATGCCTGGGGTTCAGGAAATACGGAACCCCAGGAATGCTGCTGCCAAGTTCTAGTGAAAATATGGCGAAGGGATCAATGTTCAAAGTAATAAACAAGCCTCTTTTTCATCCTGTTTCTATGTAATCACAAATGTTATATGAAGAAACAAATCAATGAGGCTGGGCTGTCAATTCCAAGGCTTGTGCTATTTACAAGGCTGTACAACTCTTCCCTTGACCGCAGTTCACAACACCATCCTGCACCCAGTACTGGTCTT